CTCCAGCAGCAGTTCCAGGCGACGGACGGCACGCTGAGCCTCGACCCCGGCGGCGCGTTGCCGGAGGGCGCGGACGCGCCGGGCACGCTCCGCCGCTTCCGGCCCGGCTCGCGCTCGCCCGCGACGGAGCGGCTCACGCACCCGCTCCTCGCGGCCTGCGCGTCCGCCGCCGAGGACCACGGCGTCGCGGCCGCCCGGGCCCTCGGGTCCAACATGTACACGCGCGCCGCGGAATCCGGCGCGCGCGCGAACCGGCCGCCCGAGGCCAAGGCCGAAGCGAAGCGCGGCCCCGACGCCAAGGGCGGCGGCGGCGCGGCGTCGCCGGGCCGCCGCGAGTCGACGGCGCGCGCCGAGCTCACGCTCCTCGCGGGCCTCGTCAGCGACGACAAGGCCGAAAGCGGAAACACGTTCCGCCTCGCGCTCTTCGACGGCGACGACGACGACGCCGCGCCGCCGCCGGGGCCGGACGGCTTCGTCGACGCCATGATCACCCTCGACGGCAACGCCCAGCGCAAGTCCGCGGCCCAGCGCATGGACGAGCTCGGCCTCGACGACAAGGACGACAAGCAAAGCGCCGGCGCGAAGCTCGACCTCGACGACGGCGACGACCTCCTCGACCTCATGGACTCGGCCAAGTGACGGCGCCCCGTCCCTCTAGGGCTAAGCTTGCCGGCGACGGCGCGCTGCCTCGGCACCGGGCACGACGGGCGGCGCCCGACGGACGGGGGCGCTGGTCGGGGAAGGCCGAATGCAAGGCCTATCGGCCGCCCATATAGAAAATAGTTATATTATGGAAAAATTAAAGTCAGTCGCATATTCCAGCGATTTCATTGGTCGAGGACAGAAGATAGCACGTATTCTTTGTCCGACGCCACACGCTGCGGTACCTGGAAGTATTTTTGTGAATGGGTGGCCTCGGGACGCCGCCAGGTGCCCTTCATCGCAATTTTGAAGAAAATGGTGCGTCTCGGACAAAAGATCGCTACTCTGGTTTTCATAGCTTGACTATTTTCTATATGCGCCGCCGGGGACCGAGTCGGCGACGCCAACCTGCTGAGTCCGCGGATCTCACTCTTGAGAGAATCCAATGGGCCGGCGTCGCGCGCAAGTTTCGGGCGCCCCGAACTGGACCCGTGATGCGAAGGGCCGCCTCGTGCGCGCTGCCGAGGAGGTAAAACCCCGGGCCTCGGGCCTCAAAGATCT